GAGACCGCCAGTCTTTATCACCACAAGCATGTGTATCACCACGTGGTCCATCACCATGCTGGTCTGAAGGCCAAGGAGACAATGGAGGAGACAACTGGCCAGCGCATGCAGGGTCCTTTTGCCTGGAGTGTGGATCCTCACAGCTGCGCCACCAAGTCACGGGCCTATGGGGAGAACATGGGCCTGGCCCCGGGTCCTCTGGATGTCATGGCCTACAGGTGAATTTGGGCGTTATTTGTTAGATTTATATTTCGTCTTTCTCTAGGAGTTTGAGGCAGCTTAAGTGGATATCTCCCTTCATTTTATCCCTCTAACAACAATCCTGTGAGGTAGGTGGGGCTGAGAGAACTTGCTGATCCAAAGTGTCCCAGGGAGTTTCCAAGGCTGAGGATGGGCATGAGTCCAGCCCCTCGACACTCCACTTGAGCCTTTGAGAGCAGCAGCTGCAGAGTGGAAGAACGAGAGACCCAGACAAGAGGTTTGAGCCCCTGTGCTCTTGTGTATGGGGTCATGGTGCTTCCGTCTTAGCTAGCTGAAGACCTGCAAGGGGGGTGGGGGTGCAGAAGTTGTCCTCAGCTTCTCAGGGCAGAGTTGGTGTGCTATTGTGAGAACCAGAGTGCAGCAGGGCCAAGGCCAGGCTGGCCCCAGGAAACTCTTGTTTCTTCCCGTGCTTTGGGAGAAGCAACGAGAGGAAGATCTTGCTTCTCTCTCTCCTCTTCTGGCTAGTGGGAAAGCTGGCTTGCTCTCCAAGCGGGGTGCCAAGAAGTCGGACCCTGGGAAAAATGATGGCGCCAGCCACGATGTGCCTGGCTCTCCAGAAGACCTGGAAAGGAACCAGAAGATCATGCAGTGGATCATAGAAGGCGAAAAGGAGATCAGCAGGCACCGGAAGACGACCCATGGGTGAGTGGGGTCAGGAGAGGAAAGGCACATGGAACCCCAATGTTGGCAAATGGTAGAGGTGCCAAATCTGCATATGGCTGTGAGGCTGTGGTGAAGGCGCTGCCTGGGGAAAAAGGTGAAATGGGCATCTGGTGCTGGGACTCAGGTTGGCAGAACAGCTGTTCTGGGCTGCCTCCCTGCTGCTTGATTGCTCCACCCCCACCCCCCACCAGAGCAGCAAACGAGGTGCCATAGCCTCCTTTCCCCAGATGCTTCACCTAAGAACAGGCTGTGTTGCTTGATTTCTGGCATTTGTTATTGCCCAGACTGGGCTATGGGGGGATGGGCTTGCTCTATACTTCAGGAGGTAGAAAGAAGAGAACCAGCTCTCAAATTCATCCTCCTCTCAGCTTCTCTTGGGGGAATCCTTGGAAGCCTCCACAACGTACCCTGCAGATCCTTTGCAGATCCCTGTCCCCCCCCCCCGCCTCCCATGTCTAACTGGGGAGGACGTCATCTCGTCAAGTGGAAGAAGAGACGGAAGCACCTGCTGTTGCTGTCTGCCTCGGGTTCAGGAACTCAGGGGACGGCCTTGCCTCTTCTGACAGGCAGTTAGAGATTGGGCTTTTTTATCCAGCAGTTCTGCTTTATTTGTTTCTGTCATCTGTGGTTTGCTGCAGTTGTCCTGGGACACTCAGTCAGTTTCTGTTTGTTTTCCTTGAAGCTCATCGGGTACAAAGAAGCAACTGGCTCACGAGCCACCCCGCCCGGTTCCCATTGATCGTCCTATGGCTGTGCACCCCTGGGTCTCATTCCGGAATGTTGTGCAGCCATCCCACCCTTTCATCCAGGACCCAACCATGCCCCCCAACCCTGCTCCCAACCCTCTGACACAGCTGGAGGAAGCCCGACGGCGGTTGGAGGAGGAGGAGAAGAGAACCGGCAAGCCAGCTGCCAAACAGAGGTAAGCAGGAGGGAGGCAAGGAGCCTCTTTGGTAGTTCTGGAGCTCTGGCTTATCCCAGGAACCCCTCTCTCCCCTGGGCCCCACTGAGCTGCCTTTTGAGGGTGGAGCTGGGCTAGGCCCACGTCAGTGCCGGGAACATGAGGAGCGCCCCCTACTGCTGCTCCAGCTGTGCGTGTCCCAGGCCATCTCTGTGCTGCCTCCTGGCCCAGGGATCTCCCCTGCGAGTTTGGAAGGCCAGGAAGCCAGAAGGTGAGAGGCTGGGAAGAGGGACTGGTTGGTCACTTTCTCTGCACCCTTGGCTTTGACTATGGTGGGAAAGCCCTTCCTCTTGGCTCGCAGAGAGCTTCCGATTTTCTTCTCTCCTCACCCCCCATCTTCTCTCCCAAGCTTTTGAGGCTGGATAGGCTTGGTTTGTAGTCAGGAAGGCCACTGAGATGGATCCCTGATCAGAGGAAATAAGGGTAAAATAAGAGAATTGACTAAGGTCCATTTTGTTCTTCCGATATATTCATGGGGTTATCCAGGATGGCCATTTTTCTGTCAGGGCAGTTGGGTGGCAGTGCTGAATGCAGTCACCTTTTCCAACCTGTGTCTCTCCGAGTCTGTTTTGCAGTTCTTTGGGTCCTTCTCCTTCTTCTCTGGAAGCCAGTCCATCCTCCCCAGGCTGGCCTGGTGGTTGGAGATTGCTCTTAGGGCAAATTGCGTTTTGCAGCCTCTTTGCTCCCCCCCCTCCCGCTCTCCCCAGTCCTGAGTCCCCTTTGGTGCAGCTGTTTTCCCACCTGCCCTCATTGGTGGCTGGCTGCTCTTGCTCTGAGTCTCCTCAGAAGATGTCAGGGGCCTCCCTTGCTGAGACAGCCAGGTCTGCAAGCAAAGGACCGCCTCTCTGTTTGGCCTCCTAGAATGAAGGCACCCAAGAGATTGGGCAACAGTTTCTCCCAGCCCTGTGAGAATATTGTGGTGGCGTATTACTTCTGCGGAGAGCCGATCCCCTACCGCACCCTTGTCAAAGGCCGCGTGGTCACGCTGGGCCAGTTCAAGGAGTTGCTGACCAAGAAAGGGAATTACAGGTAAGAATGGGCAAGGAACTGGCACGGGAGATCGGCATGTGCCCATTCCCCTGGGCTTCCTTCAAGTCCCCCTTCAGCCCAGAGCAAAGCAACAGCTCTTGGGGACTGGAGACTTACATTTGATGAACTGGGGGTTACCTGGGTAATGGCTCAATGTTTTCCCTCTCAAAAAACCAGGATGAGAATTGAAGAAAGCCTAAAGTTAAAACATAAATTGTCTATGCAATCTACTTGGTTAGCAGAAGTTGAGGAGTAGTTTTCTCAAACAAGTACAAAGACAAAGGGAAAAAATAGGCTCTGATATGCTAGATATCTGGACTGGGTCATCACTGTAGCTTTGGTGCTTGTTAGACAGTCCTGGATGGATTTGTAATAGCGAAACCCTCTAGAAGCATCTCCCAGCTGGCCTCCTTGTGGTGTGTCTGCAGAGGTGATGGTCTCTTTGGGGCAAAACCTTCTCTGAATTGCCCTCCCATCCCTGTTTTAAAGGTACTACTTCAAGAAAGTCAGTGATGAGTTTGACTGTGGAGTTGTGTTTGAAGAAGTTCAAGAGGAAGATGCGGTCCTGCCCATCTTTGAAGAGAAGATAATTGGGAAGGTAGAGAAGATTGATTAACCTGGGTGAGCCAAAAGGCCCGGCAGCCACAGCGCTCTGCTTGCCTTCTCTGAGGAAATCACAACTCTCTCCACACCATATAGGATCCTCAGCTTGCTGCGTTAGAACATTACACAGCTATTGACAGAAGCTGCACCAAAGGCTGTCTTTGAGATGATACCGGGTTTGCAATATTACAGCCACAGGACGGAGGGCTAAGCCATAAGCTGGAGACCCCTGTATGAAGGGAGGCAGAATGAACAAGGCTCTGATTTGCATTTTTAATAGGCTTGGAATGAGGCCTACTTGATAAGTGTTGCACCTTGTTCCCCCTGGTGTGTTCCCCTAATAGGTCTTCCTGCTCAGATGCTGCCGAGGGATAGAGGAAGACTCCAAGATGCTTAGGGCCACCCCATGCCTTGCGCTGTCTCCCATTTTCTTGCCATTCAGCAGCTGGAGGGGGAGAGAATGGGCTTATGGCAGAAGTAGATGTCTCTTCTTGCTGAACTGTGTGCTTCTCCCTCCTGTCTTCCTGTTTCACTGTTCTCCCCCCCCCCCTCCAATGGTAGATACACACACACACACACACAACCTGGGCTCCACATATCCATGGCAGAGGAGATGGAGCAGCCCTCAAGACTGCCCCCACCAGCACCCGTCCTTTGCGAATGTCACCGAGTGCCTTCCAACCTCATGCTTGTTCCCTCCCTGAGTCGGGTTCTGGCCTTCTTGGGCTTGGATTGTGTTCCACATTGGATGGACATTTTAATGTGTAGTGCCCGGCTGGAGCCGGATCTTCATTTCCCCTTTTTCTGAAGGGTTCAGTTGTAGATATGTACATTTTCTAAACAAGACTCAGGCTTCAGTGGCTGAGCAAATGGCCGGCAGTTCTGGAACTTTTTTTCACATGCTGACTTGTACAATTGATCTTTTCAAAGGTACAACAATGGAATAAAGGCCCATGTTCCAATGGCTTCTGGGTGTACGTGTGGATGCAGGGCTTTTGCAGATTCTGCATGAGCTGAAAACTAGGTTCTCAAGGGAAGGGGAGGAGAGGATTGGCCAGTTGCCAAGTGAGGGTTGACTTCTGAGAGTTTGGAGCAATTTGACCTTCCTGGTAGGTGCAGACCAGGAGACCTCTGAGCCTGTGACTGAAAGGCTGAAACTGTGCTGAGTTTGGACAGTTGTGGCAGAAATGTTCGTGGCTCGTTAGATACTGATGCATCTGCTGGCGACAAGCGGCACCAACCAGATGCCTTTCCTTCTACCTGTGGATTCTTTTGCGGAGCTTTTGTGTTGAAGGGCAAGGTGAGGGAAGGGACTAGAGCGGATTGATTTACACGGAAGGAGCCAACTCTGGAAAGTATTTGAGAGGGACCATAGGGTAGAAACGCATATTGGCAAGTAACTGATTATTTTCGGGGTTATATGTACTGCACGGCTTGAAAAACGTGAGTTTCACAGAGTCTTCTTTTGACAATCAAGGTCTTTATATTGTTTATGATGCTGTGGGGGCCTCCTGTAGAAAGTGAGGCTCAGGAGGAGCCAGCAGGATTTATAACTCCTCCCTGGACTCTGTGGTCTCTGGTGGATTCATCCCATCCTGCTGTGGCTCTTTGAGGGTCTCAGCATCCTAGAAAGGCAGAGGCAACCTTTACTCGAGTACCCAGGTATGGACTGTTTCCCAACAGCAACCATTGTCCACATAGGTACAGTTCTGCTTGTTTGCGAAACAGAGTCTCAGGAAGCTGAGGCTGAAGCATGTGAGGGAATAAGGCAGGTTCAGGAAGAACTACCTCCCCATCCTTGTGAGGGCAAAACCCAAGACTGTTTTCTCCTTGCGCTCCCTCCATCCCTCAGACCAATTGTCCAAAGTAGCATGCATGAATTTTCATTGTGAACCTGGGAACCAAGGACTAGAATCCACATTCTAGCAAGACCTAGAAGCTGGCTTATCTCACTGGGAATTACAACATAGACCATCTCAGGCACGGGAGTGTCTCCCCAAAGTCCAGATGGGAACCTGGAAAAAAGACTCCTCCAGTCATTCCAGATGGCCTCTCTAAGCAGAACCTTCTCTTTGCTGGGCGGGAAAGCTGGGTGGATTTTGGAGCCCCTCTTCTATAGGGGTCTGATACTTACTCCAGTCTCTTTGTTGGAGAGGGGCTTCCCTCCTCCCTCCAGAAATCTCGAGAAGCTCTCAATATCTCTGCCACCCGTGTACTCAATCATCTGGGGAGGAAACCTTCAGTCAGCATGGCCCCATGTCATTCCTCCCCCAATCAGCAGCCAGACTGCCCTCCCGCAGCCAAATCTTTAGAGCAGGAGAGATGCTGTTGTACCTGCCGGCCTGGCCCAGTGGGAAAGAAGTACAGGGTTGGGTAGCCATGGATGGTCAGGTCTGCCACTTCATTGGCTGTGGCATCCATCTCTGCAATGACAATATTCTTGTGATCTTTGTATTTCTCTCCTAACTTTTCCCAGGCCGGGGCCAGTGCCTTGGAGTGGGGACACCAAGAGGCATCTGTGAAGACAGAATAGAAGGGGGTCTTCTGAGGTGGGGGTCTTGTTAGATTAAAAATACCAAACACTGGCCACTGTGGTGAGTTGATCAAGCTTGGGCTTGGATTGTCTGTGGCTGCTGTGCACAATCCACTTGCCTAAGTCTAACAGGCAGTTGGGGATTCAGGTGGGACCCCTGTTGCTCCGTGGTTATCTGGGCAAAGCCTGTTCTGGAATGCAGCCAGCAGGCTTAGGGAAGGGGGGAGAAGGGAGAATATGTGCCTCTCCTTCAGCTCTAAAGATTAAAGTGCCTAGAACATTTTCATAATTCACTCTGTGTTTCATACACCATCCCTTTCAACCCCGACTGAGAGTTACCTGCTGCTGGGAGAGGCAAAACCCTTTGGGCAGGTGCGCAACTGTACACCCCTCTGGTAGCCTTGTGGTCATAAAAGCTACCCACCCCCAACCTCAGGCCATGCTTGCTGGGACCTTTATAAAAGCTTAGCATTAGCTGTGCCTGTCTTTGAGGTCCAGATGCTTACAGAATTTCACAAACACGTTTTTGGTTTCATCAAATGCAACTTGCTCAAAATTCTTGCCCACCACGACTTTTACCCGCTTCTTATCCCAGTCACTGGGGATCTCCTCGCTCATCAGGTGGGGCTGGAAGAGAAGGCAAACCAGAGGTGGGGCTTCTGGGAAAGGTAGTACCTAATTGGGGAGAGGGGCGGATGCTGGAAATCCATCTGTGGCTTTTCCCCGGAGCTGTGCACAGAAGGGCCTTTCCTGTTGACATCTTGGGAATGGGATAAGGAAGAGCTGGCTAGGGGGCTGCCTTCCTCCCCAGAGGTCCACATGTACCAGGGTGCCCCCCCTTTGCCAGATGTCGGCTGCCCACCTGAATTTTCCCCTGCAAAACCTCTTGGCAAAAAGTGTGGAGACCGTGTGCTGTGAGCCCTTCTGCGGTTAGCTGGTATTTTTTGTTGGCCTCAATATTGATGAAACGGAGGGCGGGAGCATTGTAGCTCTTAAGACCGAAGTGCTGTAATACGCCAGCCCCTTCCCCGTCGACATCCACCAGCACAAAAAGCACCTGTAGTCTCAGACAGAAGCCCCCCCAGCCACAGATGATGGGTGCATATTTGCCCTGGTGGCCTTTTCATCACAGCCAGTTGTGTTTCCCCTCCCCCTGGCTGGCTTAGCAAGAGGAGACCTGTTGCCAAACAGGAAGGAAGAGGGAGCGGTTTCCCTAGGAGCAGTCCCACCTGCTCTCCCATCTCCACCCTGGACTTACCTGACCCCGAAATGCAGTAGCCCCCTCTCGAAAAGGGCCCAGGAGCCTTAGCTGGGAATCCACTGACTTGTTGATAAAGAGCAGCAAATGATTTGGGATCTTTGCCCCAAATATCTTGGAGGAGTTCTAGGGGAAAACCATCAGCAGTTACCTCCCCTGGGCAGAGAGACCTCAAGCCATTGGACACAAAAAGCCCATGTGGTGCAGCGGGGCAAGCAGGCCGGGCCATCTTGAAGATCTGAAGCATCCCTGCTCTTCTCTTTGACCTTTGAATTATCCTGACCTAACTGGACACAGGCAGGGGGCTCCTGTACAGAGCAGCAGAACAGCAGGTCTGAAGGAGGTACCTCCACACTGCACCAATGGATGACCTGCCCACGGCAGCCCCTTTGATGAATCCCACCACATGCAAGAGAGAGAGGAGGGGCCGCATCTGCCAGCAAGGAGGCTGTGGGCTCCCTGATGGGATCACAGCTGCCTGACCTTATTTGTGAGCTCCATCACCAGGTCTAGACTCTGCACAGAGATGAATTGAGCCAGGTCCTTTGCATCCAGGCCTAGCTCTGTGTCAGCGAAGAAATCTACCCGCTGGCCATCATCCTGCAAATGCACCAATCAGCAAACAGTGGACACTGCAGCAGTGTCAGCAAACAGTTGCACCAGCCCTTCAAAGCATCTTACCTTCCGGAAGAGAGAGATGGTATCCTCAGTAATATTGTACTGTTCGAAGAGCAGCAGGTTGTCTGTGATGGCAAAGGCTACCTCAGGAGTGTCACTGGCTACATCACCAAAGAGACCCACGTCTGGATCCTGCAAATCCTAGAGAGAACGGGACAGCCAGAGGCAGCTCTGGACACAACCAGCATGGAGAGAGGAAGGGCTGCAGTGTGAAGCCGGGGGAGAGGGAGCACATTTTGCTTTCTGGACAGAACCTACCACTGGACAACAACGGGGAAATCCCTGGCCGCATTCCCATGGAAAAGGTTCAAAGGCTCTGGTGAAATTTGGAAGAGAAGGCGTGTCTTGACTGTGGCAGCTTCAAAAAGGAGGAACATAAGATGTCACTCACCTGGAAGAATCCAACTACCGCAACATTGTGGAGATTCACAAAAGTAGCGACTGCATCAACTTCTTCGAGCAGCACCAGACTGGGCCCGGCTTTCCGTTTTAGCCACTCCACTATGCCTGCAGCCTCTTGCTCACCTAACATGGGAACCAGGGGAGGAGTTGTGAGGATGGCTGTCAACCCCCTTCCTCACCAGCAACTCTTTGAACAAGAGGACCATAATGCTTATCAGAGAATATGGGAAAATCTGAGCAGTAGCTGAAGGACTACTATCATGTCCAACGGAACAGATGTTCTGCTCCTCTCTTCAAAAAATTGTGCTTACTCGATAACAATAAAAGGGAAACAAGAGGCTGGGCTGCTCATAAAACCATGCAGCGCAAAGAGAGAGAAAGAGAGAGAGGCAGAAGCTGCTACAAACGGGACAGGGAGATAGGTGTTAGCAGGTGGCCACTGCAAAGCTCCGGGAGTGGCAGGTTTCCATCAGATTCCAAGAAAGATGCTGGTCATCTCCTCTACTACTCTCCTGCAGTGAGTTCCTCTACTAGGGCTGGTTGTGTTTCACTCACTTCCTGACTGACCTGGAAAATCCATGGGATGGGTGCGGTTTCCATCTCTGAAGAGTTTGAGGACAGGGTAGCCAGTGATTCCAAACTCTGCCCTCAATGCCTGCTCCTGGGTGCAGTCCACCTTGGCCAGTCTCACTAGGGGACCTGCCTCCTTTTTTAGCAACGCAGCTGCTCTGGCAAACTCTGGGGCCAGGGCCTGGCAATGTCCCGACCAGGGGACGTCTGAGGGAGAGAGAAGAGAGGCAGTCAAGAAGGGCAGCGGCTGCAAAGGACGCACAAGAGAGTGGTAGAGAGCCTTTTCCTCTCTCTCTACACCAGAATCTTGGGGGGGGGGCACCTACTGTGATTGAGTGACGGGATGCCCTTCCTCATGCAGGGCATCATCAGAAAGGGGCTATAGCTCAAAAGTCAAACCAGCCCAATCTCAAGCACTCCAATCTGTGGTTTGTGGGATAGTTTGTCCCAACAGGCACAGCCGTGTGTATTGATTGTCCCCAAAGCAGGCGGGAGCAGGAAGAACAAGGGTTGTCGTCTGAGGCCACAGATGGCACCATGATGGCCCTGCCTCACACATGAAACCTGCGCCCCAGATCCAGTTCTCTTCACTCAGATTGGAAGTTTGCCCCTCCCCTGCAGTAAGGCAGCCCCAAGGGAGCCCTGTGAAGATTTCCAGCTGCCCCACCCTCCTCCTCTACTCACAGAATTCCACCAAGAGCAGCTTATAGGTCTGCAAAGCCCTGGCAAAATTGTGCTGGTTCAGCACCAAGATATCTTCCTCCTCCACCCAGCTGTTGTCCTGTTGTGTCCTCGCAAGCTGAAGGGAAGTCATGGCCAGCCACAAGGCCAGCAGGCAACCCATGGCAGTGTGAATGGTGGAACTCAGCATACTGACATGGACCCAGAGACGCCAGGCAGGGCAGGGCAGGGCTGGCCCTGATAAGGCCCCTGTGCCCAGACACGTGGCTTCTGGTGAATGGCTCTGCCAATCCCAACCAGGAACTTCCACCTGCCAACTTGCTTGTTCTGACCTTGCTGCGAGGGGGGAAGTTCTGAAGGAGCCCTTGTTCTCCTTGTCAAGAGGAAAGTCCTGCAGCATTGGGGCTCCCGTGCTAGTCCTGCTGGCTCTTCTGGGCTTTCAGGCAGAGTTCGAAGGAAGGTTGCTCAGAGCAGCCCCCGAAGACCTCTGAGCTACGAGAGCTTCAGCTGCACTTTTGGCCAGTTGTTCTTTGGGGCCAGAATGGGCGACCCAGGAGAGTCTGAAGCTTGTAGAGGCATCTGCTAGCATGGGAGGGCAGAGATCCATAAGGAGCCCAGGAGCTGAAAGGAGTCATGGGCATTCTCAATAGTGGCTGCCAAACGGAGACAGAAGCCGAAGCGAAGGCTTCAGTCCTTGAAGGGAGAGCAAGGGCAGCCATGTGCTGCTCCTCATTCCTGCCCTCTTTTCAGGAATGCCAGCGGGTCAGAGGAGGAAGCTCCATGGCTTCCCAGCAGACTTTAGGGACTGGGCATTGTGCCTGGAAGGTCTTCTTCCAAAATGTTCTCAGCAGTCCCCTTACGGGTGATGCCTGAGCTGCTTCCTCAGGGTGACACACAAATGGCCAAATGCCGGGGAAGGAGGAGCAGGAGGAGGCAATGGCACTTTTCAGTACCAAGGTATTCCAGTAAGATCTTTCTCTTGTACTACCCAGCCTGGGCAGAACCCAAGACCATTCTGTGGAATGTCCATCACCTCGGTCAACTGTTGAATTCTTTAACAGTTTTCAGTGTTGCTAGGAAGCAGCATGGGCCTGAATGGTGAGGCAGCCCTGGGTCTGGAATGGGGGACAGAAGTGAAGGGTGGGGATGGACTGTCTCAGATGCAGAGCAAGTCAGCTGGTCCATAATCCATTGGGCAGCATATAACTGGCTGCTTTCTAAGGGGTGGGGTAGGGCCAGTCTCCTGCAGCAATATATCAGACTCTGTATCCGTTGTGAATTCCTCCCTGCAGAAAGCAAAGAGTCAGGCCTTAACAGAGACTCTCCTGAAAGACAGGTAAAGGGGAGCAAGGAAGTGGCAGAAAGTTCTCCAGAATGGCATCAGCCTCCCTTCCTCTTGGCCTCTGAAGCACCCTCGAGAGGCTTCATTCAGGCTGTCTGGCTCAGCTCTGCCTCTGCTTAAACTGAGGTCCTGCCCAGCAATTAAGTTTGACCAAGGCCGGCTGGAGGAACGGGGTGTGTGTGTGTGTGCGTGTGCGCGCGCGCATGTCAGTGCAAATTTTACTGGGAGGTTTCTAATTGCTTTGAGCATCTCCTGCAGCAGGAGGAAGATGAGACGGCAGCCCTTTTGTGTGCAGCTGCAAGGAAGGGTTGCTATGACATGGCCCAGCAGCTCCTCTCCCAAGGAAGAGGGGCCATCAACAGCCAGGTAGAGCAATGGGGCAAGAGCCCTGAGGAGGGGGAGTCTTCCTTCCTGCATCCTGTCAGTGCGAGACTACCCCTTGCTTTGGCTCTCCTCCAGGATGCCACTGGCAGAACCCCACTTTTCTGGGCCACGGAATACAGGCACAAGAGACTGGTGGAGCTGTTGCTGTCCCATGGGGCAGACCCAGATGTCCGTGACAAAGTGTGTACAAGACAGGGGGGTGGGGGAAGGAAGGGGGCACATCCAGCAGCTGCCTCATACAAACCAAGAGGGGTGCATATTGAAAGGGCTGGAAAAGGGCAAGACCCAGCCAAGTGCCCCAAAGAGCCACATAGTCACACCTGGCTTGGTTCCAACTGCACCTCCAGGCTCAGCCCCATGGATCTTGTAGTAGTGGGCCATTGAGCCCCAACAGCCCTGCAAAGCTAAAGGAGGGAATATTGGGGGCAGAGGGTCCCTACTTCTGGGCCCTGTCCTACAAAGGGGAGCAACTTTTCCACAGCCCTCCAGACTGTTCCAGCCTTTCTGTTCTACTTGTCTGGAAGTTCTTCCCTTCATATGAAGGTCTCACCCATCCAGCCTTTGAGAAGGGAAGCAGTTTTGCAGCAGGCCTCTCCCTCTCCCACTGCTCTTCCTAAGGGGCTGGGATTTCAGGGCTGCCTGAAAAGAAATGTGCTTCAGAGCAGGGCCTTCAGCCAACTCAACCGCGGGTCTCTGCCCTTCTGATCCCATGCAGGAGGGGAATCTTTGCCTGCACAGGGCGGCCTATTTTGGCTCACCCACCATTGCTAGGATGCTGCTGGAAGCTGGCTCAGACTTGAATGCCACAAACCATCTGGGTAACTCACCTCTGCACCTGGCAGCCCAAGAGAAGTGCCATGAATGTCTCAGGTGAGATAAGAGGGGCAGGAGGGTCTTCACACGGTTAGGTCACTACACAGGGCACAGCTCTGGAGTAAGGCTGAAGCCCTCTTCCAGGCCTGGGGTTAATTGCTCAGTCTTCTAGGCCAATGGGACAGTTGTCCACTCTCATCCCTCTTTGTGAGAAGCCCATTTTAGTTGTTGGAACATTCCAATCCTAGGTGTGCCCCAAGGATGGATGGGAGGGGTTGCTTGTGGAATGGGAAATATCTTGGAATAAGATGCTTTTGACTGTATGGAATTCTTTGGAGTTCTCCTCAGGGACCACAAAGCCCAGGGCCCTGGCCTCCTTCTGATCTTGCAGCCTTTTCCTGGCCTGTGGAGCAGTCTCTCTGAAGAACAAAGCAGGGCAGCTGCCCCAGCAATGCACCCAGGTCAGCTCCCCCTCCTGCAGTGCTCTGCAGGCCTTCTCTGGCCAGTTGCCAAGTCAGGTAGAGCAGATACTCAGCAGGTGAGTCAGTCGCATTCTTCCTCCCTCCCTCTCTCCCTCCCTCTCTTCTACTTATCATATATTGCTGCCTATCTCACAAAAATATATTCCCTGTTGATGGGCATTTCTCAGACAGCGCTCAGCACTGCCCGCCTGCTGCCTTGCCTTCTCTTCCCAGGGACATCTCTCGGGGCTTTGAGCAAGTTGCCATTCCTTGCCTCAATATGGTAGACCAGGAATCCTATCCCAGGGATTTCCTCTACATCACAGGGAACATCATGTCAGGCTCAATGCTTCTTCCCACAAAAGCCTGGGATCAAAGTCAGGTAAGAGATTTTCCTTCCTTGCTTCCTTTGGGATGGGAAGAACAGGCATGCCTCCTTAGTATTTGAATCACATTATCTGGTGTGTGTGTGTGTGTGTGCGGGCGTGCGTGCATGCGTGCACACACACAAGCACACAAGGGAAGGCAGGAACCAAACTTTAGCTTTTGTGATAGAATCCTTTGAATCAAGATATTGCATATATGCTTCATCAATGGCCTTTCTTTCCACCTGCAAGATATGTCTTTGGGCATTTTCAGATTTTTTACTGAGTTTCTTATGTAATCACATTTATTTTTCTATACTCTTTTCCTTATTGCTGGAATTGTTCAACTGTAATATTGAAATCCTTCTTTGGAGGAATGTATGCCATCTTTTAGGCTTCCTGTCCTGGATTTGACTGTAGATTGTGGATTTAAAACATAATTTTCTGAAGTCCAATATTTGTGTTCAGCATACCGAGTTAAGTTTCACTTAAAATTAAAGATCTCCAACATTATTGCTGTCTTCTCGGGTTCCTGCTACTGCCACTTATTTAATTAATTTTTTCCTATTGTTTAAAATCAAATAAAAGGGAATGGATCCTTTTGTGGCTTCTTCCACCTTCTGAAGGAGAAAATTGCCACAAAACAGGCTAGGAATTTGCTAGGACCATGCTTAGCAGAGTTTGTCTCCTGGCACATGTTGGGGTAATTATAGCCCCTATTAGTTATAACTTAATGCCCTTTGAGAGAGCCAGTTTGCTTCTAAGAAGCATCATGAACATCTTATATTTGATTTGGTGGGTGGCACAAACCCCAAAATTGTTTTTATTCTTCCCTTATATTTTAAAAAACAAGAAGGCTCTTTTTAGGGAATTCCTTTGCCCAGGTAATCCTAGAAAACTAATCTTTTATTAGCCCCATTTCCAAAACCAGTAATTCACTCTCTGTGGGTATAGACTGGTAGTAATTCATTGCCACGGAGATGAGAAGGAAAGGATACTTCTCTGGGTACCTGGTGAACCTTAGCAGCCGTGCTATCCCTTTCTGATCTTTGCTCCCAGAAGACTGGCATTTGCGAGTCAGCATATGTGGTATGACTGGCAACAGATTTTGTTCAGCTTCTTTGCAGATAAAAACCGCATCACCTCTACAGTATCAGCCTCTCTTCTCCTTCACTGGAGATTCAAAAGCTTGTGAAGAATTTCTTCCTAAAGCTGTTCTTGATGGCCTCTCTTGTTCACTTCTTTGAAGAGGGTCGCTTCTCTCTTGACTCCTTGGTTGGGCCCGGAGAGCCCTTCATGCAACTGATGTGCAGCAAAGCAGTGAGTTTGTTTTTGCTGCAAACAAATGCTTGTTTGACTTCAGCCAGGAGGGCTGTATGTCACAAGCCCTGCAGTCTCCACTCCAGCTGTCTTTATTCCTTGTTCTACCCACTTGGGAAAGGTTTGTTGGCAACCTCTCTTTCAACCCTTGGTGAGCTTGCTTTCTCAAAACTAGCCTTGTTATTTAAAATGAGGAGGAGATTTGGGGCTTCTTACTTCAGGATTAACTTTCCTGGAGTCAATACATCCACTTCATAAAATACACATTTAATATTAAGAGGGAGAGATTCATACATCATCATTCTTGGTTTTGTCTTATGTTGGTGTGTGAGGGTGTGTGAGAGAAAACTGTTAAGCCCAATACAAAAGAAATGCAATGCAAAAAATACCTAGTTCCTTTACTGAGACTCACTTTCTTCTATTATTGAGAGTTTAATATGGGGCGTGAAATCCCTTAATCAACTGTAGTTCAAAGGACATGCATTGGGTGGGATCCTTTCTCCCCATATTAGGCTTTTCACCATTTTGGGGAAACTTTACCCATAGTAGTTTCTCCACAGCTTGAAGAAAGGAGCATATTAAAGACTATTTAGTAATTCAGCTTTTAGGAGGTAACCTTGATTCAGAAGTTGTAACTGCTGCACAGCACGTGGCTCCTGAAAGCCATGATTACACAATGGAAATGAAATAAAAACAAGCTTGGTTTTTCAGTGGCACCAACTATTAATTTTTGCCAGAAAAACTTTCACTTTCCACACTGAGCAGTAGAATTGTGTTGGCTAAGGCCAGGTCTTGGCTGCAGTCCCTTGTGGGAAGAGTAGCAGCTGTGGTAAGAAACAGCGAAATCGCCAGAAGCATTTTTCTTCATGCAGTTGCTGCTCTACTATCCTTGGGGAAAAGAAAGTGGTTGGGTTGCCAGTGGGTACCTGGTGGATTCACATCTCACTAACTCTCTCCGCAGAGAGGGACAGGTGCCGGACTGACCTTTGGCCTCTTGCTTTGGTTAATTTCAGGGCTGCAGGTGTGATGGAGGCTGCACCATGGCCAGCTGTCCCTGCATTCTGCGCAGTCAGTGCTCCTGGACCTTCATGGTGAGATGCCCAGGCTTACCTCTCCCTGCTGAGGGGATGTTACCACTTTGAGTGCCAGCCAGCTTCTCCTCCCTCCCAATGCAGGGTGGTCAACTCAGGCTGGATACCACTGGCACAGCCCCTGAGATGGGATCCATCTATGAATGCAGCATGCTGTGCGCTTGTTCCAGGTCCTGCCCCAACCGGGTGGTGCAACGCGGTCTCCGGTGAGTGTGCCGAGGTGCTCTGGCTCCTGCTGGAATACTGGGGGCAGTCTAAAGTGTCCCTGGCAAGCTCCAGGCCTGTCTGGCAAGCATCATCATCAGCGACTGATGTTCCATCAGCTCAAGGTGCCCAAGAACCACCCTGGGCTGCTCTTCCCTCCCTTGCAGAGCTAGTTTAACTGTATGACTGGGAGGGATCTGTTCTCCCACGGTTGTCCTACTACAGCAACATATTTCTGCAAAGGGAGTAATCAGAGGCCTTTTCTATACTTGCAGAACCCAGCTTCAACTTTACAGGACAGCTGGCAAGGGTTGGGGCGTCCGCACAGTGCAGGATGTGCCCCGTGGAACGTTCCTTTGCCAGTGAGTTCTGGAGCGGGGTTTCTTTGCCCTGCCCCTTGGAGGAGGGGCTGGGAGGAAGGGCAGAGCAACCCACCTCTTTCACTGCCTTCCCATTTCTCCCCTCTCTGCCAGGTACTTTGGGGAGCTGATTTCCAACACTGAGGCTGCACACAGAGAGGAAGATACCTACTACTTTGTGGTGGACATGCAGGTGGAATCTGCCTTACTCAGGGGATGTGACTTGGGGGGAAGGGAGTTGGAAGCAAGGCACCGCTTGTTATGTCCCCATGTTTCTAGGAAGGGGTCAATGCCAGAGTAGCTCTGAGCTCACAGCTTGTCTCTTGCAGAATGGGCAACAGTGCTGCCTCGATGGGCGCTACTATGGCAATGTCGGGCGCTTCCTAAATCATTCATGTCAACCCAACCTGGTGGCCTTACAAGTTGCCCTGGGATATGAGATCCCTGGCATTGCCTTTTTCAGCACACGAGCCATCCCAGCTGGTGAAGAACTTGGGTAGGTGACTGGTCCAGATCCAGTTCTTATAGGGCAACCCCACTTGAGAGCAGTGGATGCTTCAGCCCAAAGCCTACGCAGGGACATATGTTAAGGCTGACTATGAAAAATTCCCAGGAGGAATTTGATAGCTGATTAACTAAGACTAATCTTTTTTATTAAAAGACATAAATGTTCATGAGCAGTTGGAATGGCACTAAGCAATTCCAGATTTTTTGCTATCATAGACCAAAACATTTCTCCTTCTACCTTGTCTATAAGTTCTATAACGTTACAGAAGACATTAAAGGGGTGGTGGTGGTTCCCTTCTCTTTGAAGGCTTCTGGGGAAAAGTGGGGGGGGCATAAAGATGGGGCCGTCTCTGGAGAATATGCAATTTTGCTTGCAAAAGGACCATCGTTGGAACCTGCCTTGAAGATTAGGGAGAACGAAGTTACTTTGCCAGCCTCCCTTATTGCTCTCCCTGGTCGGGCGCGGCTTCCCAGCCGGCCGAGCAGTGGGTGCGCGGGCGGCGCAGAGACGGCCTCTACTTTCGCTTCCCCTTGCAGATTCGACTACGGCGACCAGTTCTGGGAGGTGAAAAGCTGGAACTGCACCTGCCTCTGCGGCTCCCCCGGCTGCAGACGCTTGGCTCGGAGTCCCGCCCGTCTTCCTTCGCCGGCCGCCGGAGACCCCGGTCCGGGGCCCAGCTCTTCCTGCCCGCCACGGCCTCCGCTCCGCGGCTTCGCGCTCAAGACAAAGCGCTCCAGCCCTCCGAAGAGGGTCACCCGTTCCCGCCTGGCTCGGTCGCCCTAACGCTGTCCGGGACTTCTTCTGGGCTTCTCGGAGCACCCCAATAAAGAGTCCGTCAGCTCCGCCGCGCATCTCCGTGTGTGTGTCTCTGTGCCGGGCAGGGGGAGGGCATGTGGGCGACCGGGCCCGGCCCGCCTTCGCCGACTCGCGTCCCTTTGCCGACCCCACCGCTCCGCTCGGCCAAGGCAGGCGCGCCGCCGCCCTGCTCCCTGCTTCGGCCTCCTGCTGGGAGTCCCTACGGAACTCGCCAGTACCGGCGACGAGCTGGAAGCCGCCCCAGAGCGCGCGCGTTTGTCTGCCGGAACCAGCGCTTTGCACGTGCGCAGAGGCCCTTAGGAGAGGCCGGCCGGCCGGCCGGCAGATGGCAGCACAGAGGCTCGCCGGGACGCCTCGCCGCTTGCAGAAGCGCTCGAGCGCCCGCGCCGCCGCCTGCAGCCGTCGCTCGCCCGCTCGCCCGCCTCCATGACCATCAGCGCTCTCCGCCCGGGGGGCGCCCCCCGCCGCCAACTGCCGTGCCTCGCCAAGGTGGGATGGGGTGGGGGGCGGCCGGCTGGCCGGCCTGCCGGCTGTCAGCCCCGGACCGGGCGCTGAGCCGCTGTGGATGCTTTCCCCGTAGATGGAGCGCGTCGTGGTTGGCATGCAAGACCCGGATCTGGGCGTCGTGTTGCGGAATCAGCGGCTTCTACTCAGCATCATCCCGCACGCCGTGACCGGTGGGTGTTGCTCGGCTCCCCGGACTGAGACCGCAGTAAGGCCCACCCGAGGCGCTGCCTCCCGCCCTCTAGCCGCCGCCTCGGGTCGGCGTTCGCTAAGTGAGGAAGCGTCCCGCGGCTCCCTCTTGGGCGGTTCCGGAGGCGAAAGCAGCCGGGAGGCGGAGGCTGCTGCAAGACCTCGGGGAGAAAGGCCTGTTAGGGACGGGGCTTCCGTCTCTTCCCCATCTGGAGCTCTGGGCGGGGTCGGGGGGACCTCCTGAGTGCAGTCTGGCAGCCGGCCCCTTCTTGCTGCACCAGCGCCCCCCACCCAAGCATCTCTCCTTTTTAGGGAATGACATTGTGGAGTGGCTCATCCAGAAATACAACATCTTGGAGGAAGGTGAGCTAGCTGGGCTGGGCTTAATCAGGCTGGCAGGCCTCCCCCCCCTGCCCCCCTTGATTTTGCCCTCTGCGACTGGGGAAGCCCAGCTAGAGGCAAGCAAATATCCTATCTAGCCTGGCCCAGTGAGGAAGGTCGCTCCGCAGGAGTCTTGGCTGCCTGGAAAGGCTGCTCCCCTCCCCAGCTACTCAGCCAACACTCTCACCCCCCCTTTCCCTCCCCTAGAATCTTTGCATCTGGGAAACCTGCTTGTGAAGCATGGCTACATCTATTCTCTGAAGGATCCTCATACTCTGGTCTTGCGAAGGGATGAGACTCCCTACAGGTTCCAGGTAGGTTAGGGTGAACCAGGACCCCTCTGAGTCCTGACATGGAATTGGCTGACCACTCAGCTGTGTCACTAAAAGGGATGGATGGGTAGATGGCTTGGAAGGGTCCTTCCTCTTAGCCTCCAAAGGCCTTGGAGGAACTACTGAGAAGACCTTGGCTAACTCTCAAGCAGAGAGGCCCCCTACGTCTGCCACAGGGGCAGCTGAACCGAGCCTCTCCTTCTATGGCCTACAGACCCCCTATTTCTGGATGAGCACCCAGTGGCTGGCCACCGACCTTGATTATGGTGAGTAGGGCAGTGGTTTTATCCCCAGTAGCCAGGGTAGCCTTTGGGCACCCCTTCAGCTGCAGCACGCCTGAGGTCATGGTTTCCCGTTTCAGCCATCTATTTGGCAAAGAGGAATATTCGTAAGCAAGGTGAACTCCATGAGCTTGAGAAGGTAAGGATGCCTGGGGCTTAAGCTAATCCCGAGGACTAGGGAGTGTGACTGATTGGAGGACTGAATGAAGGAGATCCCCAGGCAGCCTCTGTCCTTCCCCTGGGTGCATGGAGCCCCTCTCCTCCCCTTTCTCTCCAGAGCTGTGAGGAGAGCATTGACTTTCTTCGTCTGACGGTGTGGGCCATCTTCTATAGGAGGATTATAAGCAACTGTGCAAGAGGATCAATCACATTTGGGACTTCGTGGTGATGCAGGCTCGGGAGCAGCTCCAGTGAGTTGCAGGAACAAAAGGTCTGCCCCTTTGGGACTGGGGAGCAAGGAGGCAGCAGCTCTGTTGCAACTCTTGCCTTTCCACAGGGCAGCTAAACAGCGGAGGAGGGCTGACCGGATTGTCATTGAGTGCCAAGAACAAGCCTATTGGCTTGTCAACAGGCCCTCGGTGAGTGGGAGGAGGAGAGGGCTGGGTGCACCTGCCACAACCACCTTCGTCCTGAGTTAGGGCACGGGGGGGGGGAAGAGTGGTCAGGAGTTGCACTGGTCTTCTTGGCTCTCTTTATGCTTTGAGGGTCTTGGGCCCAGCACTTGCAGCCAAATAGTTGGTGTTACCTCTCAATTGCTGAAGATCCTTCTGGAAACTGTGTCTGGAAACAAGCCTTCCATGGCTCATTTATAGACCAGGTGTTTTCCCATTGCCCACAAAGCTTCCCTTTGCCTGTGACAGATGAATACTGCCTTCTGCATGTAGCCTGAATGTAGAATCGGGTTTGTAGCAAGCTCTGTACTTCGTTAGGGGAAGGGGTGAAATATTGGGCATTTGCATTGCCCCACCATTAAGTGAGGGACCAAATGATGCAGCTTCTGTCCCCCTTCAGGGGTGACCAATCTCCCCCTGGGAGTGAGTTGCAGAATTGCAGATTGAGGGGTGGCCTGGGAAGGGTTCCCGGGCAAGAGAATGGCAAGTCAGCCAGCCTTTGTTCTGCTTCACCTACAGGGGGGAGTCTTGGATGTGAGAGGTCAGGGGCTAGAGCTAAGGAGCCACTCCCTCACGCCTATACAGCTGGTAAGTGTGTGTGTGTGTGTGAGACGGGCTCCCTTGCTGAGGCAGCTGGAGAGCAGCTGAAGCGGCCTTCCTTGCCTTCTGGAAAAGGAGGGGAGAAAACCCTCTGGCTTGTGGTCCATCCCTTGGTTGATTCCCCTTTGGGAAGATGGGATGCTGTTGTATCCTTAATTGTGGCTGCCTCCTGCCCAGTCAGCGTCTGTGTCAAAGGCTGTGGTGGGAGGACTCTTGGGGTCCTTCTCTGTGGTTTTGGCTTGTGGTTCCCCCCTTTCTCTTGTTCATTTCCTGGCACCTGAATCCTTCCTCTTGACCTCTGAGATCTGCACTGTTGTTTGTGGACTGTATGGGCCTCTTCCTTCCTCCCCGCCCCTGCATTACTAACTCTCAACTTGGAAAATGGGGTTTCGAGAGAAAGGCAGGAATGTATCTGGGCTGTATCTGGGCTGGTGAGGCCACTCAAAAGGCTTTCAAACAGTCATTTAAAAGTAGCTCAGGTTCTCTAAGAAGCAAACAAATAGGGGGCCAAGTCAGTGCAAGCGATGGACAAAAATTGTGGATGGCTGCAAGAGAGCTTCCAGCTGGTGTGGCTATGAGTTTCACTCTTTTCTCTTTCATAGAAGAGCATGGACTACTACAAACAGGAGGTGAGTGTGTGTGTGTGTGTGTGTGCGCACGCGCGCATTTATGGCAGTGGGTGAAAGGCAGGAGGTTAGAGGCCCTAGGAGTCCAAACTCGGGAAACAAGGGTGGTTTGCTTAGGATGGGCCTGGCCTTCTCCTGCACAGGGGAAGGGTGGAGTCTAAGGGGAAAGGCAGCAGGAAAGAATAGGCAAGTGGCCCTTGATAGGAGAAAATGTGTGTGCATGCACATGCACAAGCACGCAGAGCATTCAAGGCAGTCTTCCTTAGGTCTCCTTCCCACCTGAATGTGGCGATGGAAGTTGGCAGTTGGCACTTGTTCTTTGGCATTCTCTGTCCTTGGTTGCAGATCCGTTATTACTGTGCTGCCCTGAGTAGGATGCGCGTCAAGTCCTCCCTTTGCCTGCAAGGGTGAGTGGAGAGCTCGTGGCGGCAATTTCAGCCTTGTTCTCAGAGTTTTAACGCAGGTGCTCTGCTCTCCTCTCTTCCCAGTGACCAGTACCATTCAAGAATGCCAAATGAATATTTCTGAATGCCTCTTTATGTCCTACTCTAACCCTTTCTCAGCTTTGGGATGTTATCCCCGACTGGGGCACCTTGGCTGCTGCTTGTTCTCTCCATCACTCTGAGCAGTGAGAGGGAGCTCTCTGGTCCTTTCCCCACCTCCACTGTTTTTTGCAGATATCTCAAGTTCAATGAGCAGTATATATCCCACGACCCCATCATCTCTGGCTGCCTCCCAAGCAATCCATGGATCACTGATGACATCACATACTGGGCCATGAATGCTCCCCGGTAAGAGATTGGTGTGCCCAGCTTTCCTAAGTAGGGTGTCTTTGCTATTGGTGTTCAGCTCTTTTTATGTATTGATAATATTTATATGCCACCCATCTTGTGAGACACAAACTTTGGGCTGCTAACAATGATAAAAGCATTCCAATAAAGTACAAGACAACATGATGTCCAGTGTAATAGCCTCCCTCCAAGTGTGGAATCTCCAGGGCTACAGCCTTTTTATTCTGGTGCCTATGGGAAGAGCTGGCTCTTAACAGTTTTCCAGCAACTTAGGAGGGGGAGGGACTGCTCAAGGGGACGGTGTTCCACAAGACGGGCATTATGGAAAAGGCACTCTTCCTAGACCTAACTAGATGGCAGCATTTGACAAAGGGACCTGGAGCATGCCCACTGTCTGACCTGGGGGACAGGCAGATATCCTTAGGGAGCAGCAGTTCTGCAGATAGCTTGGCCTTGTGCCATGTAGGGTGATGACTAGCACCTTGAATTACACTCAGAAAGAAACTGGGAACCAGTGCACCTCTTTTAGCAATGGTATAACTTAGTTGAGCTGAAAGGTGCCCAATACTTTGCAAGAATTCTGTAGCAGCTCTAATTTCCGGATGGTCTTCAAGGGCAGCCCCTTGTAGAGCACATTGCAATTGTCCAACCAGGATGTGGCTGACAGTGAGCAAGGCTTCAAGGTCCAGGAATGGGCATAATTGGCACACAAATTGTATCTGTGCAATGGCTTCCCCAGCGATGGCTGCCATCCACACCTCGAGCCAGGAAGAACACCCAAATTGCATAGCAGCTCTGCCCGAGACCCTTTTGCCTTGCAGGGTCACAATTCCCACCAAGCTGCGGGTGGAGCGCTGGAGCTTCGACTTCAGTGAGCTGATGGGCGACATCTTGGGCCGAGAGCAACTCCTGGAGTTCCTCAAGACAGAGTTCAGTGGTGAGCACTTGCTTTGCTGGGTCTGAGGAGGGAAAAGGAGAAACTGCGAGGAAGGTCCGTCACGCTCCCTGGAAGCCAGCAAGGACTCTGCCCTTCTTCCTGCTTGGTCAACTGGGGGCGTGATTTCTCTCCCACGTAGCCGAGAACCTGATGTTTTGGGAGGCTTGTGAAGAGTTACGCCTGGGTGAAGAGGCCCACATTGCAGAAGCTGTGGACTCCATCTATCAGTAGGTGGCTTTCTCCCCTTAGAGCGGAGAGGATAGTGGGCTGAGGTTGTGCTCCACTTGGTGAGCAGGGGATGGCCACTCTGCCTTGCTTCTGGGGCATGTGTGTCCATTGTGTTTCTGTACCTTCCCTCACTCTCATCTGGCCCCCAGAGCTTGTTAGGGCTTTGCTTTCCCATCTGCATGGTCTCTCATGTACTGTTCTTCCAGGGAGTTTCTAGCGCCCAGTGCCACCCGCTGGGTGAATCTTGACAGCAAGACTATGGAGCACACCTTGAAGGGCATCAAGACCCCCCACCGCTACGTAATGGACGATGCCGAGATGCACATCTACATGCTGATGAAAAAGGTCCTGAAGCTACCAGATAGGCAGGGAGCGAAGTAGCTCTTTGATTCTTTCTCTCTCTGTTTGTGCTACCCATCTCAAGGCCTGACTGTGGCCAGACCAGCAATAAGAGCAGGCTGTTACATCCTCTGCTGTTGGGCTGGAAGGTCTCTCTCTAAATTGCCCCTTCTCCTCCAGCAGGACTCCTACCCACGCTTTTTGAAGTCAGAGCTTTACAAGAAGCTGCTTGCTGAGGCCCTTGTGCCACCAGAAACCAAGAAGCGGTGAGTGGGTCAACCTTGGAGGAAGCTCTCCCAGAGACCGAGTTGAGATCCATTGCTGATGGACTTGTTTTGCCTCCCAGCAGGGCATTCCCATTCATGAGGAAGCAACTGCGACACTCCAGCACAAGCCTTGCCTGCCCGCTCCCTCCTGGAGCCCATGAAGTGAGGCCTGAAGAGGAGAGCCAGGTGGGGCCCCAAGAGCAAGGCTAAGGGGAACCCCCCCCCCCCCAAAACACTTGTTCCCTGGATGCTTCAGGCCTCTTGCCCCCACCCCAGCAGGCATCAAGATGTAGACCTCTCTCTTACTCACCTGGACAAAAGACTACCTCTGGTTACCCCCCCCCCCTTTTTTTTCCCTTTCTTTTTCTTCTGGCTTAATCTTTAGTGCAGCCAAGCCTCCATCCTCTTTGAGCAAGGCTGGCAGCATTCCTGCCTCTCAGTGCATGGAACATCCCACCCAGAATAAAGTGCCCTTGTTGACCCAGGCTGTTGTCATCTCACTGGGGATGGAGAGGACTAGAGTCCAGTATCAGCCATCATCCCCCTCCCCCAAATCTATCTGGGGGTGGCAGTGTTGCTTTCATTCATTTATTGTTCTCATTGTGACCAGTAGACCTGATTTTGCCAAGTTTCTGCCCAGCTAGCTCCTGCTTAACCCTTAGTTAAGAGCACCTAGTGGATGGACATTAGCTATGCTGCTTCCTGGAGCAGCACAACCAGTCTGTGTGCAGGGGACCTCCACAGCTTTGGTGGCTAATTTGCATACCATTATGCAGGGCCAGATGAGCTGGAGGAGATAATGCCCTTCTGCGCTTAAGAAGATTAGTTGAGCAGCCTGTTTTCCCAGCTTCCAAATGGCTGCTAGAATGTCACCCTCAGATTTTATCCCAGGCCAAAGGTAACCTGGTCTGATGCTGAAACAAGGCCATGTCCATTTTCTGCACCTTTCTGAGGAAGATCTGCCCAAATCACCTTGCAGTCGGACCTGTCTAGGATTCTGTGAATGTATCTGAAATGTTCAGACAATTGCATAGTTGCTGCTCCTGCATAAGCAGGGAGACCAGGCTGAATAGAATCAAGGTGGAATGCTGGGAGTTGCATACTCCTTATGGGTGGACTTCTTCCAAAGATTAAATTTTACAAGGAGGCCTATGCCCATCTTCACCATGAATCTGCCAAAAATAAGCAGAATCAGCCATTATGGTAAAACCCGAATTTATAAACCAATGAACCAAATGTGAGAATATATCCCTCTAGAAAAACAAACATAGGAAAGTCTCTCCTGCTTTAAGTTGCAGCTTTGAAAGGTAGGTGCCTATTTTAGAGAATCTGAGAGATTTCTCAGGATAAAGATGTCAACCAGCCACGTTAACCGCCTTCGCCTAACTTAAGGCCAAAAAACATTTGCAAGTAGCAAGGGGAAGGCTAGATGGAGGCAAAGTGAGTTAAATTACAGCTGTGAGTCTGGGGCTTCTTCCTAGCAGAGGCCCTTCAGTTAAGCTGGTTTCAGTGGCTTCAAGCAGGGAGAGAGTCAGAAAGGGGATCTCCACAGATACCCATTAGAGCTTCTTGGCTGGCAACAGCTCTACTTGCTGACATGAGGTTAGTTTTAGCCTGAAGCGTGAGAGGCAGGGAAAGTATCAAGAGCACAGCCTAAGAAGGAAGCTGGGAATAAGCTGCTTCACCATCAGGAAAGATTATGCTGGAAAGGTCCCCTCTCCCCCCTGAAAATTATGAAAGCAGAGCAGCATCTCGGCCAACCACTACCAACAGCAGAACAGGGCAGGTCAGACCAAAAGACAATGCGGTGTGGGCTTCCTTTGTGGTCAAAGACCCACCTGGTTAGTGAGGAGTCTCTCCCAAAAGGCATACAATTCACCAGGGGCTCCAAGTGTTTGGCAGAGAAGAGACAGGAAAGCGCTCAAAAGGGAGAGCCCCCCTGCCCTCCTGCCAGATCCCCATAACTGGGTACAAAAGGACCAAGTGGAGCTTCGATGGCTTCCTCCAAAGCCCCACACAGTGACTGCCTTGACCTGCTGGATAGATGGGATGCAGAACCTTGTGTATGCCACACCAAACCCTCCCTTCTGCTCAGCCCTAACCAAACTTGTCAACATCACGGAAACGTGCTGCTCATTTTTTTCCCCAGCAGGAAATCCAGTTTGTTCCAATTCCTACTATGGTGCTGCTGGGCTGTTCCTAGCTCTTTTTTAGGTACTGGGAGAAGCACAGAGAACAGATGACATTTCAAACATTGTGGCCAAAGCTAAATTTATTGAAATTGAAATTATCTGTGGCAGATAAATGAACTCCGACTCTGCAAAGCATCTCCATCTTTGAACTGTGATAGAAAAAGCCACACCTGAGGCTTGGCCACAGCAAGAAAACAAGGAGCAGTTGGATGTCCTAGTACCTGCATGGCTCGGTGCCTGTGAGCTGGAGATCAGGCAGCCCAGGTGCATTACTTTGGGAGCAGAGGTGGCCAAGGCCGATGGAGCTGCTTCGATTGCTTTGCAGATTCTTCAGGGAGATTGTAGGATCCAAACCAATTATGACACTGAGAGGGCCCTCAAGGCACTTCTGGGGCTGATGCAGTTATATAGCCAAGCTGCGCAGAGTCCGCTGTTCCAGTGGGAAGGATGACTAAGAGAAGCCAGATGGCCAGGCACACGATAACTCTGAGAACTGCCCCCACCCCAGTTGCACCATTTCCAAGATCTTTCTCCTCTGGGGAATGGATATCTCTGATGGTCAGAGAGGAGGCATAATGTCTCTCTCTTTCCCCCATGTGCTGTTTAACCTAGGGCCTCTACACAAAATCCAGGGTATGGGATCCAAGTCCTGGTGGTGGACTAGCCAAAGTATTCCAGAAGCCGAGTGCGGTTTACCTTCTCCCTGGCTAGCTTCACCCAAAGGTACGGAATCGCATTCGGTGGAAATAGTCCCGGACATTCTGGTCAGTATCTTGGGGCATCTGGTTGAGCCAGATCACGTGGCTGCTGAAAATGTCTTCCTTCAGCTTCCGCTTTGAGAGTATCACTTTCCCAAGGGAGCTGCCAACCTGTGGGCCTACCAGCAGCACGTAACAGGCATGGCGGCTTCGCTCAAAAAGCAACCCTAGAACCAAAAGGGGAAGTATAGCAGGAGCCCCCAGTGGTTGGGCAATTTGGGAAACAGCTGGAGCATCCACTCACCTTCAAAGGCCACTATGGGCTCAGTGCTATTGCTCAGTTCCAAGAGGACAGTGGGCAGGGAGGGATGGAAAAGGTACAGCCGCTGCTGCTGACTTCCATGCCAAGATCCCTGGAGGAGAAGAGTAAGAAGGCCAGGGCCCCATAAGAGACTGCCGGGATGGTCTACTTATGCCCAGGAGCTGCCATGCTCCTGTGATCCATGGGTGAAGACCCTCCCCCCTACAATAAAGGCCATCCAATTGCTCCATTTGCTGCACCCACTGCAGATGGACCACCCCAGGGCTGTGTTTACTACAGTTAGTCAACTTGCGACCATTTTGATTTAGTAACCAAAATGAACAGTGCTGAATGAAAGGACTTGTGACCCCTGCCTGACGTTCTCATCTTTGCAGCAGCCCTGTGGTCACATGATCAAAATTCGGGCACTTGGCAGCCTGGTGGCATTTATGCTCATGGAAGTGCTGCAATTCCCCTGCTCTGCCACTCTTGCTTTCTCCCTGCCCTGCCACATGCAGATCCACTTAGCTTTCTCTTCCCCTGCCCACAGGCACGCCCAGCTGGCGTGAGGCGGAACTGAAAAGCTAGTGGAAGCAATCTTCCTAAGCAGCAACAGTTTCTCTTTTGCTACCTTTCTAGCTGTGGAAAAGGGAGAGTGGGCATGGGATGGGGCAGACTGACGGGCCTGGCCTACCGAGGCCTTTAACCCACCGGTGGTTTCCATCTGCCGGTAGACGCTGGACCTCCCAAGGTCTCCCCCATCCTAAGGCACTGCTGGATGGTTGTTTAATGACCACAAAAGAATTGGGATTGTGGTAGTTGAGTGAGGCAGTCATTTGGGTGTCTTGCTTAATGAGCACGACTTACATCCAAAACTCAAGCATTATCTGTAGAGTTTCTCCCCAGGGCTTTCGGGGGGGGGGGGGAACTGAACCCAAAGGAAAAGCCCACAAGGAATGGAGCTGGTGATGATCAGAGTGCAGCTTCCGACTTGCTGCTGGCTCTGCGAGGCTCATCGTGGGCAGCCCCACTTCATTTCCATCTATCACAGATCATTCCCTACTCACAGTTTCATTTCTTTCATCTTGGTACAGGCCCCAAAAGAGGAAAATGGATCTGCGATCAGCAGTTGCAAGAGAGGCTGGCTTGGGACTCTGTATTTCCGAAAGCAGCTCCACTTCCCACTTGATGGCTCCAGAACTGCCCTCCACGATTGTAACCTAGAGAGTAAATGTTGACTTGAAAGGATAGCTGGGCTCCAGGCTGTAATTCCCTTTCTCAACCACCATTTTAGCCCAAGGACCTGGCTGAGAGCAGGGCTGGGCAGTTGCCCAACATTCGTGAAGGCAAGCACATGGCATGGCAGCTCATCACTATATTTTCTATACACTTTCTAATAGCTTAGAGCAGATGTGTTTTTCTATCCCAGCACTTGGAAAGTGGAAGAAGGCAAAGGAATCACCAGGCTCTACTGGGTGTCAGTGACAGACAGAAAGTCTGGTGAATAAAAAGCTCTTTTAACTAATATGGAACTAGAGAAAGATCCAGGTGACTTAGGAGTTTGGACTAATTGGGAATTAGCTAGTAAATCATCAGCCATCACCCAATTCAAGTCTTTTAAGAAATGTAATCTTCTGCATCACAAGCTCAAACCCTGGGAATATTGCAAGCATGGCTCATTTATTTTGGTGACCTTTTTGGAGATCTAACACAAGCACTATCAAATCCAATCATATGGTTGAGTATTTTATGTGATGCTGATGCCACAATGTCAACTATGTAAACATGGCAGAAAATTTTAGTGGATTTCGCACTGGCAAAGAAAAAGGGAGAGATACAAGGCCTGTGTGTGCATGCGTGTGTGTATTGGCAACAACACATCTCCAGCACCCCTTGCTCGAGTGGATACAATTGTACAACTGGTGCTTCCAAAGAAACCAAAGGATCTGCACCTGCACCCCACCCACAGGCCCCCCTGCAAACCTTCTTTGTCACAGGTGAGACTCTGCTTTCAATAACCACGGCAATCTCATCGGGACCAAAGGCTCCAAGAATGGGCTCCCTGCAAGCAGGACACGGGGTGATGTTCAAGGGGTGGCATCTCCGGCTTTTCACCCTACTTTCCCTATCCCAGGTTTGCCGGTGTATTCATTCATTCGTTCAGTCATCTGATCTGATCCGTGTGCCGCCCATCCTGTCTAGAGGTGGCTTATCCAGGAAATACCAGAAATAGGCAGCAAAGTCCTCTCTTTTTCCCTGCAACTCGAGAGGACTGAGCATTCACACAAGGCCCTGTTGCACAGCCAACATTCCTAATACTGTCATTACCTCAGAATGTGTGGCACACCAACAACCCACAACGAACTCAGTTGCTGTCCATTCACCAGCTCCAACATAGCTGATCTTGTAACCAAAATATGGCTCCCTGATTTCTCTGATATCTTTGTCACGTACTGAATGTCTCCAGAACTAAAAGGGAATTAAAAACACCTGTTATCCCTTGTCGGAGGCCATGTACCTCTTCCAAGCCTTCAGGGCAGCAGTGCAGGTCAAACCTTGTTGCTACAGCCCGTCATAAGCCTGTGCTTTGCATGGCAACGGATCGAGGGTCCTCTGCTTTCACGAGTAAAAAAAAGAGGCTGAAGCAAGCAGAGAAAATGGAAAAGACAAAGGGCTTCCACAAGTCCTAAGTCAGTGGGGACTCCAGTAGGTACCTGGCTAAAGGCACCTGTCGGGCCTTGTGATGAATCGCCATCTCCCAGTCCGCATCTTCCTTCAGGCTGGCAAGGGCTGGGCTTGCTGGGCCCACAGCCATGCGATACAGCTCCTTCAGCGAGTAGGCAAAAAGAGCCTTTGCTAATGTGAGAAAAAAAGGTCCAAATAAAGCAGGTCAAAGGGCAGAATGTCCAGCTGCCCTCCTTTCCCACCCCTGGAAGTACAGGACCCACCTGTGTAGAACAGGATGTAATGGGCTCCGCCCTTGGTGATATGCAACAGGTGCCCAATCAGTCCTGGCAAATGCAGGCTTCCGCTGAATTTCTTTTGCGTGCCAAATGTTCCCGAAAAGAAGAAGCTCTTCGTCTGCAGAGAGAATTGGAGCCAGGATAGTTCAGCCTGAGCAGCACTCTGGCATTCATGCTACCTTCAAAAGGGTTAGCAAAAAACATGGATCCTTAAAATAAGGGAATAGATTATCCTTGTTCATGGTAATAAGTTGAGTATAACCTGAAGGTTTACAGACATTTTTCAGCATCAACACAACTTGTGCTCAAAGCTTGGGGAAAGAAAATGATTTTGGCATTAGACAAAGTATCAGTTTGAGCTGTGTAAAAAAGGCCCCTCAGGATTGATAGAAGGTCTCTTGTGCCTGCTGCTCCTTGTTGGCCTTCCAGGGAGCCTGGGACATCCCACTCTAAATTCTTTCAGTGGCATTGCTCCTCCCATAAATTCTTGACATCCCCCTTTGAGTCAACCACAATTAATAATACCCCAACCCACTAACACTTCCATTCTTAAAGGTAAAACAAGGATGAGGAAAAAGACAGAACATGGAGGATGATGCAATCCTTTACTCCCATTCCTTCCCCTGATCAATCCTGCTATGGAAAGCAGGAATTTCCCAGTTACTGGTGGCCATTTCTCCAACCAGAAGCTACTGCTTGAATCACTAAGCCAAAGAACACTGGAACCCCAGGCCCTTTACTCCAGCACCCAGTGTCTGACGGGGTGTATTGGATGCATTTTGGAAACCCAGAGGCTGAGATTAGATGGCAAGAGCTCCCTGCAATTACTGGCTCCCAACAACAGTATTTCAGGCCTACTGCGCAGAAATCTTAAGATTCAAAAACAGCACCAATGTTAAACACTTGGAAAAGCTGGAAGATACTAAAACAAAAAGTTTATATGTAAAAGTTTATAAAAACCTAAAAGGGGTAGAATAAGATGGGTACAGGAATTCATGATACCTTAGTATGTGGAAGACTGTATGAAATTACAGAGCAGGCAAATGAGGGGCTCATTAAATTTAGTTTATGACTAGGTCATCATTCAATTAATTTTGAGTGCTCTGGTGCAGAAGTGATGTAGCATAACTTTTTTTAGACTCTGAGCTCCCATGCTGCTGTGAATGTGGCCAGTTCCTCTGCAATAGGCAGGATGACCCTATTGCTTCAGCAATTCTTACCTCCTCTCCTGTGACAGCAAAGACCAAGAAATCAGGCACACCGTCTCTGTCGATATCAGGAATCTTCAGTAAGGGACTCAGGACTGTAGAGTTAGCCCCCAAAATGGCTGTCTCATTCCACTGAGTCTGGCCTATGAAAAAACAGAGCAGGTATTCTGATTCTGAAGCCTTGACAGGTAAGAAGATGTCTGTTTTTCCAACATAGTGGCTTTTGATTCTGGAACCCTGAGCATTCATTTCAGTTAATCACTGAATAAGTCTACTGTAACGTGACCTCGCATATGGCACCATTTTGACCCATCTTAAGTTCTGGCATTCATATCATCACAACTGGGAGTTCCAATGTCACCTACTCCCCACATACAGGTGTCCAACTAGAAACCAAGAGATTTATCAAGTGTTCTCCTAAACAGCTTTTGCAAAGATGGGCTGAAAAACCTTGCAGCAATTCTTGACGAAATGCAACTTCTAACAAGGAAAAGAAGAAATGCACATTTGCCCTTCTGTTCCACTTGCTCACCACAAGAGGAACCAGACAGAGGAGAAATCTCTTCACACTGGATCAGATCATTTTTCTGTTTTCACTTCATCAATATTTTTAAGGACTGGAGAAAAGTGCTACCATCGAGGAGGAAACAGCAGACCCATGAGTCTTTGCAGCTGAAGAAGGAACAAAATCCTTGCCACCAGGGGATCAAGATTTCCATGCTTTTGCAGAGTCACAGCAGGATTCCGTGTCTGATCTATGAAGCCCCATGCTGGATCGGATCAGATAACTTCAACTGAAGCATGTTGTCCCAGAACGGCATTAACCCTAACCCTTCAGCTACCAATGGCTGTTAAACTTTAGCTCCCCTATTTACATAAACAAGATGCAAACTGAGTGCTGCTGGTGCTTTGGCTGTTGGCAAAGCAGGAAGAAATCTGTACTCTTCTTATGGCAGAAGGCAAAGGTGCACAGGACTTTCTTCCTGAGATGCCAATGCAGCTGTGCTTTCAGATCCCTTCTGGGCGTCTCTTTCCCCCAAAACGGGTCCATCTCCCTGATACGCCTGGCTCAAAAGGAAGGTACCTGTCTCCAGGTCCAGGAGGACAAGGGAAGCCGGATTCCCGATGACAAGGCAGGCCGGAGAGCCGCCGTGTTCCACCGAGCAGTCCATCAGGAGCAGCTCCTGGGCCACTGGCCTTTCCCACAGCGTGCTGCCATTAGTGCCCGAATGCGCCGCCAGGAAGGCACAGGGCGGCGCGAAGCCTGCGGAGAGGCAGGCGCGGGTCGGTCAACCCCGCCGCGGCCCCGGCGCCCCAGGCCCCGGCGCCGATCCCCCCTCCCGTTACCTCCTCCGGAGCAAGTGCCATGGCCGGCGCCGCTGGTGTTCCGGCTGCCGGGGCCGGCCTGGAAGGCCACGAGCAGGTCCTGCACTCGGTCCCCGTCGGCGTCCCCCGCCGCCAGGAAGGCGTATGCCGCTGCGAGAGAGCGAGAGGGAGAGAGAGAGAAAAGGGAGCCCGGGCCTCGCGCGGCCTCCGGGGCCTCGAGCGCCGCCGCGCAAGCCCGCCCGCCCGCCGCCCGCCCTCACCGGCGTCGTCGTAAGCCCTGCTCCAGGCCGTCCGCGAGGCGGGCCTGACCGGGCAGGGGATGACGAAGGAGAAGGCGAAGGCCAGGCCGAGGCAGAGGTAGAGCGAGAGGAAGAAGGCCGCGGTGCGCCACTGCGAGAGCCTCTCGGGCTGCGCGCCGCCGCCCGCCTCCTTCTCGGCGTCCCGAGCCTCGGTCCCTGGCGAGGCCGGCGCCTCTCGGGCCTTAAGCGGGTGGATCTCCGCCTCCGCCTCCGGGCGTGCCATCCGGCGGACCGCGCTCTGCACGCGCCCAGAGACCAGCCAGCCGGACGCTCCTCCGCGGACGCGGCGCCGGACGGCCCCACCCCCTGCGGCCGTGACGTCACCGGCGAGCCCGCGCCGGGTGTGACGTCCCGCCAGCGCCGGAAGCGGCCTCGCGCGTGCCGTGGCCATGGGGCTGGGGAGGCTGGTGCCGTTGGGGGGCTGCCTCCGCCGCGCCTCCCTGTCGGTCTTCCTCCGCGCCGGACGGGAGCAGAGGGCCGCGGCCCCCGCCCGCCGAGCCCCGCCTGGCCTGGTCTCTGCGGCGAGCCCGTCCCCCGTCCGCGGCCTGCCCTGTTGGGTTTGGCGGCGCTCGTGCAGCAGCCACACCGCTCGGGACGACCCAGAGGCGCCGCCGCCGCCGCCCCGGTCGCCTAGTAGGCCCGAGAGCGTCCCAGGTAAATCTCTCGCCGGGCCGGCCGAATTCTCGCGAGGAGTCGGAAGCAGCTCCTCTTCCCCTTGAGGGCTCCTTGGTACTCTCTGAGCCCGCTTGTTTCTTGCAGACGTTTCGTTACCCAAACTAAGTAACGCCGTTAGTGCTTAATGCTGATTAGCACCAACGATCCCTTATTTCAACCCTGAACTTGTTTTTGAAGGTTCCACCTCGAAGCATGAGTTCCAAGCTGAAACCCAGAAACTTTTGGATATTGTGGCCCGCTCCCTCTACTCTGAGCAGGAGGTAAGCCTTGCAGGGTGAAGCCCAACAGCATGGGCTTAAGAAGTCCCTTCGCTCTGCAGAGCTTACTTGCTCTTTGACTCTTTGACAGGTGTTCATCCGGGAGCTGATCTCCAACAGTAGCGATGCTCTGGAGAAGCTGCGCCACAAACTCATCTCTGAAGGAAAGGTCCTGCCGGAACTCAGGATTGAACTGGAGACAGATGAGGAAAAGTGCCTGGTTGCCATCCAGGTAGGAGGACATTTTTTATTTTTTGCATAATGTGTAAAAAAACAACACGTTCCTCTTGCTATTCAGTGGGTTCTCTGTCTGCAAGGGTTAGCCGAAGATTGCATGGCAAGTAGATGTCAGTGAGGTTGATTCCGGGAGAATCTAGCTTAGAAAGAAGCTGGGAAGGGAATTGGAATGCTCTAAGAGTTTTCCCAGAAGGGAAAGGGTTTATAACAGCAGCTCCCCCCGAGGAGAGTCGCCCCCCGAGCACAGCCGGCGCGGAGCAGCGCAGTCCCGTCGCATGCAGATGATGCTGCGGGGCACGGGCAGAGGGCATGGCCACCATGGCACTGCTGGGGCACCTGGGCAATCTGCGGCGGGCCATGGGGCACTGGGTGGCCCTGCGGAGCCAAGGCTGGGGGCGGAGAGGGGGGCAGAGCAGGAGCTGGCAGGGCCGGTTTTTGGGCACTCCGTCTCTAAAAGGTTCGCCATCATTGGTTTATAGCTTAGCATGCAGCTGGGCTGAATGTTGAGCTTGACTTAAGTGACAACATGGGTTTTATGGCCTGGGAAGGAGGATTTACTTCTGCCTTTTCTGCACTGCACTAGCTTTTAGGCCATAGCTATCAGGGCAAAATATCAGAAGCGGTGCTGTGAATTAATCTGATTCTTATATGGAAAGGGGGGGGACAAAGAAGGAGCCTGTCTCTTCCCACACATCCCAAAGTGTAACTCTGGATATGTGAGAGACTCCTTTTCTATTGCTTGTAGGACACTGGAATTGGGATGAACCGTGAAGAACTTCTGTCCAATTTAGGGACCATTGCGAGATCTGGCTCCAAGGTAAGTTGAAGAGGGAGGCTATAATTTTGTTGGTGTGGCTTTGCATACTTGTGTACCTTTGAAGGACAAACAAAGTCATGTGTTTATTGAATAAAACTTGCTGTAGTTTTTAACTTTGTAATTAGATTGCATTTTAAACATTTTTAAGAATATTTGTATTGCGTGTCAGAGTAATTAGCTTCATTTTGTACATTCTCATGTATTAACTAGGTTTATAAAGCCCCCGACTCAAATAATATGACTCTGGGTGGAATAACAAATAGTAAACCTATTTGCATATTTGTGTGTATGATATGCATATTTTTATTCATTTTTCCTTCAGTTTAAATTACGTCTGATTCTGACAAACTGGAACAATGGGTCCTATCCAATAAAATGAGTTTTAATGTGGAAAAAAGCAGAGTTTTACATTTAGGAAAAATCAAAGATATAAGTACAGATTAGGTGAGACCTAATCTGTACTTATACAGCGAGTAACTGTGAGAGAGACCTTGGAGTCTTAGTGGACGATCACTTGACTATGAGCCAGCAATGTGCAGCAGCAGCCAAAAAAGCTAATACAATCCTGGGTTGCATTAAACAGAGGCATAGAATAATGATCACACAAAGTATTAGTACCCCTTTATAAACCCTAGTGAGACCACACCTGGAATACTGCAACCAGTTTTGGTCACTATACTACAAAAAAGATGTTGAGACCTTGGAAAAAATTCAGAGAAGAGCAACTAAGACGATCCAAGGCCTGGAGACTGAAACATATGAAGAACTGCTGCAGGACTTGGATTTGGCTAGTCTAAAGAAAGAAGAAATAGGAGTGACATGATAACAGTATTCCAGTATTAGAGAGGCTGCCACAAAGAAGAGGGGGTCAAATTATTCTCCAAAGCACCAGAGGGCAGGACAAGAAACAATGGTTGGAAACTGATCAAAGAGAGAAGCAACCTGGAATTAAGGAGAAAGTTCCTAACAGTGAGGACAATTAACCAGTTTGCCTTCAGAAATCATGGGTGCTCCATCACTAGAGGTTTTTAAGAAGAGACTGGACAGTCACTGGTCTGAGATGATATAGGTTCTCCTGCTTGAGCGGACTAGAAGACCTCTAAGGTCCCTTCCAGCTCTATTCCATTCCCAGAAACTGCCTGGACAAGTCCCTGTAGTTTTCTAGGCAAGGTTTTCAAAAGTGGTTTGCCAATGCCTACTTCCTAGGACTGTGAGAAAGTGACTAGCCCAAGATCACCAAGCTAGCTTTATGGCTAAAGTGGGACAGGAACTTAACTAGTCCTCCAGTTTCTAGCCTGATGCCTTAACTGCTACACCAAAATGGTCTCGTAATTTTTATTTAAAAAATACATATAGACTGCCATTTTCTGTAATGATATTCTAATAAAGGGTTTGTGGAAGAATGCTCAGGTGGTATGCTGGCTGTGGACTCTCAAGAATCCAAGTGGCATTTGCTTCTTTGCCAGCAAAAGTGGTAGCAAGGTGAGGCTGACCAGCTGGGTCCTGCTTTATACACTTAGCCTGCCTATGTTGTATCTACAGGCCTTTCTGGATACATTGAAGAGCCAAACAGAGGCCAGCAATAAGATTATTGGCCAATTTGGAGTGGGCTTCTATTCAGTCTTTATGGTGGCTAATCAAGTGGAAGTTTTCTCCAAGTCAGCAGAGCCAGATAGCTTTGGTTATTGCTGGCATTCAGACGGGTAAGGATGTGGCAGAGACTGGGCTGAGAGGCTGCAGCTGAATGGTTAAAAGGCTGCATGAAGTGTTCTAAGCTTTGCTGGAAAATTGAGGGGCTTTGGATTCTACCTGCCTCCCTGAAATCCCAGAATAAAGATAGACTTAGAAGGACCGAGTAGAAAAGAAGCCTTATTCTTTGTGAGACATTTCTGATACTTCTGCAGAAATTGTGCTCAGATAATGGGTGCTATGATACTACTTTCCACCAGGGAGACCTGGTCTTGCAATTGTGCATTAGGACGAGAATTAGCTATGCACTGATTACTGCTTGTGGGATAACACTTCATCCGTGGGCTCATACTTGTTTGTAGTTTATAATTACAACTTGCTTGTTTCCTCTGACTTGCTTTTCTAACTCTAGTTCTGGGACGTTCGAAATTTCAGAAGCTTCTGGTGTTCAGGTTGGAACTAAAATTATTCTCCATCTAAAGGAAGATTGCAAGGAGTTTGCCAGTGAGGAGCGAGTCAAAGGTGAGCAATAGCAGCAGGGAGCTTGCTTGCTTATCTATGAATAGACACTAGTGCCATGTCTCTCAGACCAGTGGATGAGATGCAGAGCCTGACTTGGGGGAAGAAGCAGAGCTGGGTGGCCTGTCCCAACCTGTTTTGAATGGGTAAGGTCCCAGCTTTGGTCTTCGCAAATATTGGGGGAAGCTCTCTTCTGCCCATATCCTGGTCAACGAGCCACATCTAATCCAAGGAGTTCTTGCTAGAGTAAAAGGATTAGTGGCATGACTCCTTGTAAAGTACTTTCATATATGGCAAGTTGCTTCCAAATTTGGGGGGAAACGCCCTTCTTAAGCTTGGCGACTAAGGAATAATAGCTGTAGTAGATGCTTTGCAGAATGCTTTCAAAATGTCTTGTGTGTAAGCCCTTGCCATTTGATAGGATCTATTTTTATAATTTTATCCATCTCTTCAGAGTAGTCCTGATTAGCCTCTGGGGGAGCGTATTCCAGGCCCTCGGAGTAATGCTTCTGAAGATGACTGGAAGGAATATTTTTGGAGACAGTGCCCAGCCGTGAAAGGCCTGGTGGCTTAATTGCAACACTTAGAGTTGGTTTTAGAATTGGTTCCAAAAAAAACCCTTCATTAAGTAATATATTATGTGGTCCCATACTGCAATTTTGAATTCCTTTTTCAACTGTGCCCTGTCTGTATAGTGGCTGCCACTGATTAACACCTGGTCTCAGTTACATATTGAATGGATAAAAACCCCTACTGGGGGAGCAGAGGGAGTTGGCAGAGTTTTCAGCCCTTTTTTTTTCTTTTCTAGACATCATCAAAAAGTATAGCAACTTCATCAGTTTCCCCCTCTATCTGAACGGGCAACGTGTCAACACCTTGCAGGTAGAGCAGATATCTGGTGGCCCTTGAAGCTGGGCTTGAGCTAAATGGCATTTTAGCAAGCAGGGGTCCCACAATCCTCTGGCATCTGTAGAAGACCTTTGTGGAGGAAGTGGCCTTTGGAATGCCAGCTGCCCTTTTCTACCCTGA